CTCTCCCTTTTCTTGCAGCCCCTGTCACATTTCTGTGTCCCTGCCATGCCCCCTGCAGTCCTTGGAGAAAAATAAATTAAATACATTAAAAAGATGGTTTGGTCACACAATGTCACTCGCTATATTCTAAATACGGAGGTCATTCTGTTAATGGTAAATCCGGAATCACGTGGAAACCGGCAAAGAAAAGACTTAATTCAGGTTTGCTCTCCACTATGCCCAGCCCCTTTCGGAAAGCTACCAGGCCAGAATTAGAGCTACTGTTTTATTGATGTCCTTTGAGTAAGATGCGTTTTTGTCCATGCGTTCCTCATCTATGGAAGCTAAGAGAAGCATGGAACTTCATCAAGCATTTCCTCTGTCACTAGACAAGTTGAAAAGAGAGAAGAAGGGGACTGCGGGTTGAATAGAAAACGGGCATACCGCGCTCCCCTCTTATAAAGTCACCCTCCTGTATGGCCATGATGCTTCGATGGTGAACACTATAGATTATGCCCTGTTCTGCTCACTAACCATTGGCCTTTATTGCATCGGTTCTAACATTCTAAGGGATGGAGAAAAACATATTTCTAATTTATTTCTCCTCTGTATTGAGAGACACTTCTATAAAACTCCCTTACTCACCATTTGCTGGAGGGAGGGAGGGGGCAGGGGAAGGGATGTTCTTAAAAGCTCCTCATCTTGTACCTTGATAAGAAAGATAGTTGTTCATTTTGGTAACAATTTTATTCCCCCTGCATTAAGGAACAGATAATCTTAAAACAGGTTTTTAATTTATCCTGGTCAAAATATGAACCACATCACATGAGTTCCTATCTTACAGACATAAAGGTAAAGGTAAAGGTTCCCCTCGCACATACGTGCTAGTCGTTCCTGACTCTAGGGGGCAGTGCTCATCTCCGTTTCAAAGCCAAAGAGCCAGCGCTGTCCAAAGACATATCCGAGGTCATGTGGCCGGCATGACTAAACGCTAGACGTGCACAGAACGCTGTTACTTTCCCACCAAAGGTGGTCCCTATTTTTCTACTTGCATTTTTACATGCTTTTGAACAGCTAGGTTGGTAAAAGCCAGGACAAGTAACGGGAGCTCACCCCGTTACGCGGCACTAGGGATTTGAACCGCTGAACTGCCGACCTTTCGATCGACAAGCTCAGCGTCTTAGCCACTGAGCCATCGCATCCCTACACACATACATACACATGTATTACATATAATATAATACATATAATTACATATAATACACATACATGTATTATATGTTACAGACATACACCTTCTCAAACTTAAGAAGTATCCAACTTCTCAAACCTTCATTCTCAAGGTGGGAGAAGAATTTGAGTGTACTGCCTGCCAACTGTTCTGTGGGTGTGTGCCTGGTGTAGGAGTAGATGACACAACTGGAAAGTAATGTAAAAACTCATCTCCGGATGACTGTGAAAAACTCCCAAGGCAAAGGGGGAAGCACTTTGTCAATGTAATGGCTGGGAACTCTCCATGGTGCTGAAGAGGTGGAGCTATTCATCATGTTTTCTGTTACTCCAGAGAAAAACAAGAAAGTTTGCTGTCTGCCTGTTTCTGTTCAAAGACTGGTTTGAGCCCTGCTTGAGTTTTCACCCACACTTCATAATAAATCAGGTCTGTTTACATCGTAGGCTAAGCCATAAAGCGGTTTCTTTTTTTTATTATTATGGTTAATGTTTATTAAGGAGATTTTTGTAGAGTGAAAACAAATTTCAAGAAAAAAAAGAATGGAAAGAAAAGCGACGAGTGAATAAGTTATCAATAAAAAAGACAAAAAAGAAAAGAAAAAAGAAATATAAAGGCTTTGATTCTTCTTTACAATAGTTATAAATGTGTTTATATTCTAGCTCAGGGGTCTCCAACCTTGGCATCTTTAAGACTGGAGGACTTCAACTCTCAGAATTCCCCAGCCAGCTTTGAAGTCCACCAGGCTTAAAGTTGCCAAGCTTGGAGACCCCTGTTCTAGCCTCTCTCTCTCTATATATATAGCTTTATCGTGGCTCCCTGCTTTCTACGGGTATATTTTATCCTTTCTAATCATCCAACACATTAATCACAAGTTCATTTTTCTCCATTTTCAGCAAAAAGTCCAATAAACTCATGAAACAGTTTCTCAGTTTGCAAAAGCACACTAAAACAAGTCACAAGTGGTTTAGGTGCATTGTGTGAATCCTTTCAATAACATTTTGTTTGGGTAAGAAAAGGAATAAGAAAACGTCTTTTAAATAGGGAGAATTTCGGGGACTTTGGCCTGCTTTAATAAACTATCACAGAGATTGGCAAATTCCTCTGCTGCAAACAACGAGGGGTTCAAACACGTGGAATACCTTTTCAAATGTGGTGTGTGTTATCAATATGTTAAGACTACAATTGCTGTCATTTTGAGCATGCCGGTGAGAGGATCATGGGGTCTGTAGTCAAATCTATCTGGAAGCTACCACTATGGAGAAGCTGAAGTCTTACAAACTAATTTACCACTTCATTTGTATCTCTAATGCTTCCTCTGCCTATCGGCATGATTTGCTGAGAAACCATGAGGTAGCAATTCTGACTAAAGAATGATGGGATCGCATGGACTGAGTCCCGTCAAGCTTTAGGAAAGGATTGAATTTATATCTCCCACCTCCGCAGCTAAATGCAAGTTTTTCAGTAACGTGCATCACATACGAAAAAACCAGACTGAGTTTCAAACATTCCTTGTAGCTGCCATTTTGACTTTTTTTTTTTTTTTGTGGACCCAAAATTCTTGAGTCCGACACCCTTGAGAAAATGAGCAAGCTGAAGCCAGCAACGGGCAAGGCCAGAAACGGACAAAGCAATTTTTTCCCTGCTTTTTTCCTCCTCCTCCTCTCTTTCCTCATTTCTTTTAAACCATAACTTGTCCATACACATTCTTCTCTGCCTCCTCTTCCTCCCTACTCAACTTCCCGTTCTGTGCTTCGAACCAGAGTCTATACTTGTGCTAAAGAGAAATATGGGCACAATTTCACGTTGCAAAAAAATGCTTGCGTGATGATGATGGTGTCCATTTATAATTACAGGAATAAAAAGGAGGCTTGTGTCTGCGACGGTGAACATGGCTAGCCAGATGCTGAGAGCAAGCCAGTGGAAAGGGTGCATTCGTGAGCAATCCTCGGCCCAGTCAGCGTTGGCATAACCAGGCCAACAAAGCTGTTCACCCCTATTCTGATCATCTCCTGCCCTATGGGAAATCATCTCCCTTTCCCCCAAACTAATCATGCGAGAAACCTGTGGGACAAAATTCAGAGGCATCAGCAGTGCCACTGCACTCCTGGTTCATCTTCCCATCAGCCTTTTGAAGTAGACCAGGAGGAACCCAACAAAGGAAAGGAGAAAGAGATGGGTTGCAGCTGGCTCTCATTTGCAGAGAGAAACCATCCATGTTTCGGGGGTTTGATTGCAGCCTCTCTCAACTTCCTTGGTGATAGAGTGTGTGCTTGTTCTATAGAAATCCCACCCCACCCAGGTTTTGTTCATCGTTTTCTTTCAAGGTCATTTTTTTTTTGAAGTAGGGTGGCATCTGAAAGAGGAGGTATGATTCAGAAGGGGGTGATGGGATGGGGAAATGGTTCTTTTGTCCCTCTTAAGATATTGTTTTAAAGGCAGTCTTTGGAAAATAGGACAATCCGATTCAAGGCGGTTATGTCAGTCGTTGTCCATGTCAGGAGTAAAAAGATGGGACATACATTTAAAGTCTACATGAAAGAAAACAAGCAGGAGTCTGCCAATCAATGCTTAAGAGCAGCTGGGGTTTTCCTGCCGCCCTATCATTTATTAGCCACACAAAAGAGGATGTTTTCCATATTGAGTCAAACCATCAAAAACTGGTCATGACCAGGTTTTGAGTTCTAATTCGGATACTTATAAACAGTTTCCTAGGCTGAGCATGAACATCAACGCTCCCTTATTCCTCCTTTCCTATTAGTCTGCCCTTGACTTTGGTATAATTTCAGGGTCCAGCACAAAGTCCCATCCTGAAGCCTGCCCTCCCTTCTATGGAACAATGGGGCTGCTGCTGGAAATGAGGTTGGAGGGCGAGTGGCATTAACGGACAAAATGCGCCAAGCGGGTACGAAATGCTGCCCTTGCTGCCGGTGGCGCAGAGTTCCTGGGCTTCGCTATAAGGACAGGAAGGACAATGGAAAAATTTATCCTGGCATCCCAGGGGTGTGCTAATGCTAGAGTGCAGAAGGCATACACAAAACTGCGGGTGGGTGGATGGAGGGGGGGGGGGGGAAAGAGGAGGTAGGGTGTTCACACAGATAAGAAAGCAGAGGGACCTGGGAAGAGAAAGGGTGCAATAGGACGGCAGGATTCAGAGGAGGAGCCGTAGGAAGAAAAGCTGTCTGGGAGCCAGAATAGGCTTCCTTGTGCCTTGTGCGAGCTGACTGGTTAATTCAAGCTAGGTGGAAACTGATCTCAGTATAGATGGCCGGGGGTGGGGGTGGGGGGGTGGGGAGCTTAGCTGTATGACAATACATGCAGGGTGGGAGCGGGGGTTGGGTATCCGTCATGGGGATAAAACAATTGCTTTCATGACTGATCTATTTGGGGGATGCCAAGGCTTTCCAGAGGCATGCAGTTATTCCTGGGTGACACACAGAATACCATCTATAGCCATACTGGGTTGGACCAGCAAAGAACACAGCTAGTGCTGAGCCTGTAACATGTGTATATGTGCGCCCACAGTTCTCTCACTTTTTCTCACACACACACACACAGTCACACATGCACAGGTACACTCTCTCACTCAAAGGGCTATCAAGAAGGCTTTCTCATCCCTCTCCCAAGTCCCCTTTCCAAATTCCCTATTTAAGAGCGGAAACAATTGTGTATTTATTACAGGACAGTGTTTAGCCATTTCTCTCTCTCTCTCTCCTGCCTCCCCTCCACCATCTCTGGACTCCATCTTCCCCCCTTTTTCCACCCCCCCCAACACCCGCTGAATCATAATTACCTTAATGTTTGAACTGCAGAACATTCCAAGCTGTTCCTTCTTGGTGGAGAGGGGAGAAAGAGGCAGAGAGAGAAAGAGAGAGAGAGAGAGAGGAAGGGAGGGAGGGAGGAGACTGGCGCATAGACAAATAAAACCCAAGTGAGAGATGATCTTAGCAGTGAGCTGATGGGTGACACCCAAGGTGTCAATGTCGCCTTTCTCAACCGGAATGAGGCCATTGCTGTGGTAAGGTGTGCCACCCCCCCGCCACTCACCAACTCATGTGTGTAAATTTAACCCCTTTTGTGATAGAGACACAAAAAGACTCGTCTTCTGCCAGCTCATTCCAAGATAGGATGGAGCAGAAAATAGACCTGAGATTAAGAGTGGCAACCAGAGATGGAGCCAAGGACCCCGCCCCTCAAGATACGCCTGGGATTCAAATCCAGCTTTCTCCACCTTATAAGGAAGGAAGGGTTGTCCTGCTTGTCCCAGGTCGGCTTTTGGAAATGGGGTTCCTCCAAGGTGTCTCTGGGCTTGGGGAAAGGCGGTGTGCGGATACGGAGAAGTCATCTGCATTACCTGTCTTACCTTACGACCTAGCTATCGTGAATTCTTCTCTTCCTAATCAACTGCGGCAATATACCAAAGTTCTTTTTGTCCTAGCTCTGCTGCAAATAAAAAAGTCAAGGCCTTCCCGATGCTGAGAATCAGATACCCGGGTTCCACACAGCTCTGAAAGGAAAAGACAATAGGGAGATGGACAAAAAGCAGAGCATTTTTTGTTTTTTAATGTTTGTTTTTAACAGATTAGGGAGTGAAACTGGCATCCAGATAAGGTTTGGGAGGCAGAGAGGGGAGGAAGAAGGTGGTATGAGAAGATGGGCTGACATTCAAGATGTTTTAAATGTAAAAAAAATCTCCTCTTTTAAAGCCACCCTTTTTTCAGATGTGTGGGTCTCTGTGTGTAGGCTGGCATGTGTGAGAGAGAACAGACAGAACGAACGAACGGTGAAAGAGAAGATTCTGTCTTCTTAAAATGTATCGGTTTGAGCCATTTGTTTAAGACCCAAACAGTTGAAGGGAGGGGGGTGAGTGGGTTTAAATTTATGTAACAAAATTGGATTTTTTTGGGAAAAAAAATCTGTGGGGAAGTTAGCTCTGCTTTTAAAAACAATCAGGTCTGAGTCATACCTTCTTCTGGACGGATGTATGATTTTGGTGTGATAAATACAAAACATCCTTTTTTGAAAATGGTTCAGCTTGGACCATCCTCTTAAGAGCTTTTGAAAAAAGCATCTCGGAAGCGACTAGATATTTGGCGTCTTTCAATGGTGGAGGACAGAGGTCCAACTTAAAGAGAAGTTCCAAATCACGCAAACCTTGAAGCTGGTTTGAGTCCATTTCCTTCTGATGAAAGCAATGAATAACAGAGTTGGAAGGGAATTTGGAGATCTTCTAGTCCAACCCCCACATCCCCCCACTCAAGCAGGAGAACCCTGTATCATTTCAGACAAACAGTTGCCCAATATCTTATTAAAAAACCTACAGTGTCCGAGCAACCCACAACTTCTGGAGGCAAGTCGTTCCACTGATGAATTATTCTCACTGATCAGGAAATTTTCTGTTACAGGGGCTTTCCAACCATCCTTCCATCCAAACCAATTTCTGTCAACACTGTGGAGCATTTTGTGCAAAGACAAATCTCATCCTTGAGAACGTGGATGACGTGGCAAGGAGAAACACGGAAATTGGAGGAGCGAAGGAGCCATCTTGATTAAGAGTTTAAATCAACGTTGCTACCCTACTTTTCCACCCACCGAGGGATAATATCTCTTCTTTGAGTTTGGTGCCTTCTTTCTTCCATTCGGGTTTTTTTTTTTTCTCCTCTCTTCCTATTATCATTTTCAGAACATGTTGATTGTGACCTAAATTGCTTGCACTGGGATTTTAATTCATTCTCAGCAGCCGTAATCATTTGAATTTAAGCTCCTCTTCTCCTCCCCTCCCACACGGATAGTTTCCCCTGCAATTTAATCTACAAAGTCATTTCCCCCACTGAGGGATCCTTTTAATGACACAGTTGTTCCTGCTACAAAGCAGCCCTTCCACCCCCATGGAGTTTTCTTTATACATTTCAACGATGTGTCAAATATTATTGGAGAACCTAATAAACGTGGAGCCCTCTAGCTTCAGCTGACTGCTGTTATGGGCCATGTTGAAAGAAATATCCCTCTGGGTTCAGTTCCAAGTGGGGAAAAAGACACTGGATTCATGGAAGTTGCTTGGAAAGAAGATTTATTGATGAACAGGATCACATGGCTTGAGTTCCTGAGCAGAAAAGGGCAGAGATGCTGAGAGTGCCTTGGTTTTATGCCCTCTGTTGGGCTTTGAATTTGAGCTTGTATTCTGATTGGTTGTCAGACTCTCATGGGGCCATGCAGGGGCAACTCTGTAGGCTGTCCTGAGTCCCAAGCTTGGTTGACTCTTGCTGGGTGATGATGTAATGAACGGGTTTTGGGCAATTCCTACTATGGCTCTGCCTGAAGGAGGTAGATCTTTGTTATGTAGAATAGACTGGCTCAGGCCTTAATGGCCCATTGACAAAGGTGTGTGGGGGGTGAGTTTCTGCCTCCCTTTTAGGGGAAATATTCTGCCTTTTTATTATTTCTTAAAATATCTCATTTTCCTAGGAGAGGGGTGGATGCTAACTTCCTACAGCCATAAAGCAGAGCCGATTCCATGTCTCTTTCTTTCTTTCTTTCTTTTTCTTTCTTCTTTCTTTCTTTCTTTCTTTCTTTCTTTCTTTTTCTTTCTTTCTTTCTTTCTCTTTCTTTCTTTCTTTCTCTTTCTTTCTTTCTTCCTTTCTTTCTTTCCTCCCTTTCTTTGGAGGGTGGGAGGAGAATGCTAAGCATTTTTATTCAGCAATGGATCTTTTCTCTCTATCTTCCTGGACAGACTAATTGATGTCAAACCAAACAGTGGATCACCTGTCATTTTGAACAATATCAACGCAAACTAACCCGAGGATTTGAACCATTGCCAAGTTGGATCAACCTTAAGCAGTTGGATAGATTGGCCTCCAGCAATAGACTTGCAGATATAAAAATCAGTCCATACAACGGCTGGGTTCTTTCGATATGCTACGACATAAACTCTGGTTTGTTTGCAGACCATGGTGTCTGGATTCCCATGACCTGGTGGAAGAGACCCGGCAAAGTGAGCTTTCTAAATTCAAAGTATTACCAAAGGTGGGTTTTTTTTTCCCATCAGGCAGCGCAGTGAATTTGAACCCCTATTGCAGGAGTCTCCCACACTTGGCAACGTTAAGACTTGTGGACTTCAACTCCCAAATTCCCCAGCCTGAGTTTTGCAAATAAAATGAAGAGATTGGAGGCTGATTCCTGGAACACAAGATAAAAACTCCCTCGCTTATTATTATTATTATTATTATTATTATTATTATTATTATTATTATTATTATTATTAATTAAATTTGTATACTGCCCTACTCCCGAAGGACTCAGGGCAGTGAACAGCCATAAAATAAAACATATAGATACAAAATTTAAAATAGAGATAAAACAAATTAAATAAATTTGGCTGAACCATTTTAAAACCCCAATAATTTAAAACCAAATTTAAAATTCCCATTTAAAAAGAGGAAAATTTAGGTCAGGCCAGCTTGATGAAATAGGAACATCTTAAGCGCGCGACGGAAGGTACGCAGATCCGGGATCCTCCGTATCTCCGGGGGGAGCTCGTTCCAGATAGTAGGTGCCCCCACAGAGAAGGCTCTCCCCCTGGGGGCCACCAGTCGACATTGTTTGGCCGACGGCACCCGGAGGAGCACCTCTCTATGGGAGCGTACTGGTCGGTGGGAGGCTATTGGTGGTAGCCTATGATTTAGACACAAGGATGGCATTTGCAAATCATCATAAGTCAATGTCTTAACCACGGCTTCTGGAACAAGCCACAGTAGGGTTATTAGAATGCAGTAGATGAGATTTACATAAGCCATGCTAGTGTTTTTTGAACTTGATAACTTTAGGGTGAGCTGGCTGGGGAATTCTGGGAGTTAAATTCCACCTAACTTAAAGTTGCCAGCTGGAAAAACATTGCATTACATCAGTCCCAAATCAAAGAAACTGTTTTACGTGTAGAGTAAGTATGGGAATCCAGAATGGGATCTGCTAAGAAAGTCTCTGAGTCGAGGGAGCCCTGAAATGAGTGGGACTTGCCAAAATACAAGGATGAATTGTTTCATTGCTCATTTGGTTGCAATGCCTTATGGCAGGGGTCTCAAACCCGCGTCATCACAGCAGTGTCACATGATGTATCATGACTTTTTCCCCCTTTGCTAAACCGAGTGTGGACGTGGCCAGCCCATGATGTATCCGGCTCACGGGCCATGAGTTTGACAGCCCTGCTTTATGGAAAGATTCACCTGCACTGGATTGTACCCAGGATCAAAGCTTAGGTTTATAAGAATGGAGCGATAGGTTATATTCCATTGCAATAGGGCAGGAGTCTCCAAATGTGGCAACTTTAAGACTTGTGGACTTCAACTCCCAGAATTCCTCAGCCAACATTTGAACCCAGGGGTGAAATTCAAAATTTTTCCCTACCGGTTCTGTGGGCATGGCTTGGTGGGCGGGCAGGGAAGGATATTGTAAAATCTCCATTCCCACCCCCACTCCTGGGCCAGCCAGAGGTGATATTTCCCGGTTCTCCGAACTACTCAAAATTTCCACTACCGGTTCTCCAGAACTTATTAGAACCTGCTGGATTTCATCCCTGTTTAACCCCCTTCTTCGTTTGTGCCATCAGAGGAGATTTTTCCCCAATTGAAAGCAAGCCTAGTCTATTCACCAGGCATGAAACTTCTTGCATCTTAAGTCTTAATTCATTTTATTCGATTTTAAATTTTGTATATTTATGTGTTTTATTTCATGGCTGTACACCGCCCTGAGTCCTTCGGGAGTAGGGCGGTATAGAAATTCAATAAATAATAATAATAATAATAATAATAGTTGGAAGGATTTAAACTCCTTGCAGACTGCTGGTCATTTAGTTTTTTCCCAAATGCCATCACTCTGCTAAACAAATAATTCCCTCAACACTGTCAAACTAGTTACTAAGTCTGCATTACTATTAATCTTCTCTTCCTTACTAGTATCTATCTCTTCCCACTTATTACTATAACCATGTCGCTTTTATCTTTCAATTTATATTGTTTTTATTTGCT